TTGCATAAACAAATGCTTATTGTTGATGATAAGTTATGGTTACTTTTGAACTCTAGTGGGCACTACTTATCAGTCTATAGTTTGAAAAACTAAATTGAGTAAGTCATCTGTATTACCCTTTTTTAAATAGATTTTAGTTGCAGACATTTTTTTTATATTTATTTATTTTTTTTGAATGTCCACAACTGCAGTTCTTGGACAGAAACCAGAAAGCTAAAAACATTGATTGAGCCTCATTTCTGCACATTTCTGCTACCCAGCAGGTGTAGGGTGGAGCTGCTTCTAAGACCGTCGGTTAACGCTCTGCCTCAACGGTCCTCCTGATATTACGTGGAACTAAAATGTCACACAAACGGTGGGTGAATGAGGAGGGCCTGCATGAACGTTTGTCTGCGGGTTAGTATGTCTGAGTTTAGGAGTGACAGACGGGAAAGGGCCGTCGCTTTCATCATTTCTCACGCACACACCAGCTTTCACCATTATCAGTAATTTTCAGTGCAATGCAACCTTACAAATGGGAAAGTAGTAAAACAAAATTACCTAAAAAATACAGTATCTAAAATTCAAATTGAAATTAAAAGCAAAGAAATTATTTTGTCTGCAAGACATTATTCGTTCTTAATTGTAAAATGATAGTTTAGATCCATGAGCAAACATGAAGGCAAGAATGTCACGTGAGCTGCTTGTGTGTTTGTGTGTATGTGTGCACTCACCAAGTATGTTTAGATCAACAAAAATATTGGGTGTCTCTGAGTCCTGTGAAGTTGTAAAATTAAAGATAGGTACTGAGAGTTTTAGGAACTTGGAAAATCTATATGTACATTGTTTTATGGTAACGTATTTACAGTCATACAAGAGTTTTCCCTGCATTATTTAAAAAAAGTGGGGGGTGGGTGTTGTGCAAAATCTACTTTTTTGAGCTTTTTATCATGTTATAATGTAATTCCCTCATTAAAAAACTTACCCAGAGTGTTGTTTTGACTCATTCATGCATGTATGAGAAATGCTTGAATCTCCTGTGGTACAAAGCAACGCCTATTTACCCAAAGCTCCTCCCTGGAGCTCAGTCCCCAGCTCCCACAGAGCACCACCCCTCCCCCGTGCCTCCACCATACAACTCCACCATACTAGCAAAATGTATCTTAAAAATGGTGGATGTTGATGATTTCATTGCAAAACATAGCTTTCTAATGATTTGTATTTACTGTTGCTTCGCAAAAAGTAGCTTAACATTGATGTATACCGTATTTATTCATGTATAATACAATCATCATTTTTTTAGATTAAGAAGCATAAAAAATCTAATCATCAATAGCCAATGTATAATGCTTACTCAAAACCAAAATTTAATTGGTTGTTTAAAGGTAATATACATTTGTGAGCCTTATACATAACCTGTAAAATATAATCAACCAACTCATAGAATTTCAATCATTTCAACTGACAAAACAATGTATTTGGTGGATGACTGTAATGTTATCTTGTAATAATTCTTACAGCTTTTTTCTGTAAAACAAAAATAGGGTTTATAATTGTTTTACATGCTTTCCCCCAGACTTCAATACAATAAATTAAGTGTGGAACAATTTTTGCATTATACAACATATACAGAGCTATATCATTGAATAACTCCCTTACTTTCTACAGTACTCCAATAGATTTAGCAATTTTTGTTCATAAATAATTAATGTGAGGTTTCCATGTCAGTTTTTCACCAATAATGACACCCAAAAACTTCACCTCACTGACTCTACAAATGTCAATACGACTTTACTTGATTGTGATATAGAATTGAACTATGTGCCTGAAAAGTACTTATGAAACAAATGAATCCTAATCATTTTCACATTAATTAGTAGATATTTAGTGTTTTACATTCATACAGTTAAAAAAAGAAGTTCTGAGTGTCAATCAAATGCATTACCCCTCACTTCTAAAGCTTCAAAACTGTGCAGATTATTTCCCACGACACAATCTATAGTTTTGGATTTGACTCCTCGTGCCGCAAATTTGCATAGCGTTCTGTCTTTATGAGAAAAGTTCAACCCGTGTAAACGTCCATCATTGTGTTTTTTTTTTGTTTTCGGTCTTGGTACATTTTTACCCAAACTGCTGTAGGTGAAGTTTCCCTTTCCTTAACTGTTAAAAAGCGACAGTTAAAAGTTTCAGGCTGTCTAAATGTCACCGTATGGTCAAATATCTTCTCTGGAAATCACACATCTTTTAGAGGTTTCAGCAAATCATTTCTCGTAATAAACGTTTTTTCAGTCCCGGCCTTTCAGTGATGGGTGGTGTCAGTCACAGGAGGCCAGTGTATCCGGACACACTGTCAGAATGAAAGGTAAAAAATTCAAATCCTGTCCTGTCACCGGGCCGTACAAACAGACAACGAGAAGTCACTTCACCCTGCTTCATAACTGAAAGCACACACTCATATTCACACTTGTACTTTCTCTCCTCTTCTTTTCTCTCATCCACCACAGCAGTGGTATTACTCTTGTCTGATGTGGTCTGTCTCACCTCATGTAGCTATAACTAGTTTTTCACCATTCTTCCCTTAAACTTTGTCTTTTTATTATTTTAATAATGCCTCTTTACTCTTTTCTGCTCCTACCTTCTCTTGCATTTCTTTCAATCTGCTTTTCACCTTTTTGTCTTTTTATTTTCACTTACCCCGCTTTTGAACTTCCTCATCTCCTCCTTTTTCCTCTTGAACATTCATTCTCATACCTGTCTAGGGGTTTCCTATTCATCTCTACTTGCTTTCTGTTCTCAGCTCTGCTTACTTTCTCTGCCGTTAGTTCACCGTTTTTACTTTTTCATGTTTCTGGTCCTTTTTTTTAAATATTAAACAGACAATACAGACATAAGCTAATTAAAGGTCTATCATTTCTTGAAGGAATACGTATCACTGCCTCCTTTTTTGCCAGAGTTTTAAAAATAATTAATTTACTTTCTCATAGAAACCTTCTTTTATGCAGTTTATACCCCAAGAGAGTTGCAAAGCTTCAGTAATGCCGAAGCTTGGAATATGTGTTAATGACTTTCAGCTAAGACAAATTGTCCTTAATGTTAACTTTTGTGATCATCTTGAGTTGTGTTGACTTTGAAAGTTAATCAGTTGCATAGATACAGTGGGCTGCCAAAGTTTGGGCAGCCTTGTTAGTTTTCCTGATTTACCTTAATAAATCATTGATTGTTTGGATAAAAAAATCTGTTAAATATATCATATAGGGGACAAACACAGTGATATTTGAGAAGTGAAATGAAGTTGATATGTTTTACAGAAAGTGTGCAATAATTGGTTAAACAAAATTAGGTAGGTGCATGAATTTGGGCACCAAAAAAAAAAAATCCTTAACTCAATAATTAATAAATCCTCCTTTCACAGAAAAAAACATTCTCGAAACGTTTCCTACAGCTTCTAATGAGAGTCTGGATTGTGGCTGAAGGTATTTTTAGACCATTCTGCTTTACAAAACATCTCTAGTTCATTCAGATGGTTTCTGAGAATGGACAGCTCTCTTTAAGTGACACCACAGATTTTCAATAATATTCAGGTCTGGGGACTGAGATGGCCATTCCAGAATGTTCTACTTGTTCCTCTGCATGAAGGCCTCAGTAGATTCTGAGCAGTGTTTAGGGTCGTTGTCTTGTTGGCAGATCCAGCTCCGGCTTCAGCAGCTTCAACTTTGTCACTGATTCCTGGACATTGGTCTCTAGAATCTGCTGATACTGACTGGAATCCATGCGTCCCTCAAATTTAACAAGATTCCCAGTCCCTGTACTGGTCACACATCCCCACAGCATCATGGAACCACCCCCACATTTCACTGTAGGTAGCAGGTGTTTTTCTTGGAGTGCTGTATTCTTTTCCCTCCATGCATAATGGCCCTTGTTCTGCCCAAATAACTATTTTACTTTCATCAGTCCACAGCACCTTATTCCAAAATGAAGCTGGCTTGTCCAAATGTGCTTTAGCATACCTCAAGCAGCTCTGTTTTTGATGTGGATGGAGAAAAGGCTTCCTTTGCATCACTCTCACATACAGCATCTCCTTGTGTAAAGTGTGCTGAATAGTTGAACGATGCACAGCGACTCCATCAGCAGCAAGAAATGATGTTGTAGGTCTCTGGTGCTGGTCTGTGGGTTGAATCTGACTGTTTTCAACATCCTTCACTTCTGTTTATTGAAGATTTGTCTTGGTCTGCCACTTCGATCCTTGACTTGAACTGTGCCTGTGGTCTTCCATTTTCTCACAATGTTTCTCACAGTGGAGACTGAAAGCTGAAATCTCTGAGATAGCTTTCTGTATCCTTCCCCTAAAYCATGACGGTGAACAATCTTTGTTTTCAGCTCATTTGAAAGTTGCTTTCAGACTCCCATGCTGCGACTCTTCAGAGAAGATGCAAAAAGGAGAAAAACTTACTATTGCCTCCCTTAAATACCCTTTCTCATGATTGGAGTCACCTGTGTATGGAGGTCAAGGGTCACTGAACTTACCAAACCATATTTGAGTTCCAATAATTAGTTCTAAATGTTTTGAAATCAATAAAAATAATAACGGTGCCCCAATTTATGCACCTGCCTAATTTTGTTTAACCAGTTATTGCACACTTTCTGTAAATCATTTAAACTTCATTTCACTTCTCAAATATCACTGTGTTTGTCCCCTATATGATATATTTTACTGATTATTTTTATCCAAACAATCAATGATTTATAAAAGTAAATCAGGAAAATTAACAAGTCTACCCAAACTTTCGCACCCCGTTGATTACATCATGACGGTTTCATCCATTCACAGGTTCATAGCATATTTAGCAAAAACTACAAACACATGCAAAACATTACTGTCTTTAGCTGCAGGAAATGATAGATATTAAATCAATATGAAGACGAAACATGATAAAAAAAAAACCGTAGCAGTTTCAATTAAAGCAGCTTTTCAAGTATAAAATATGTGTGAGAAAAGGAGTAACCCTCGTGTCTCCCTCCAGGTGAGCTAAAGCGTTACCAGGTGTTGATCCACGGCATCGAACCTCTGCTGGAGACTCCTCTGCAGTGGCTGAGCGAACACCTCAGCCATCCCGACAACTTCCTGCACATCTGTGTCATCCCTGTGCCCACAGATTGAAGCCACTACCCCTTACATCTTGCCATCGCTGTGACAATGCCCGGGCCAACCACCTGCCGGCTGAGGAGCCCGCACCCACTGATGTGTGAGGGTGGAGAGCTTACACCAACAAAGTTACAGGAGGAAGACTGTGACTGTCAAATAAAGTAAAGAAGGTATTTAACAAGCCTTCCTTTTTTCCATTCACTTTTTTTTTCCCCTTCCTCGGAACTACTGCTGTCCCACCCTTACCTTCTATGAAACTTGTTACTGGAGGCAAGGCGAAAAAGAACTGTTGAAGAAATGACTGAACAAGAAGATCTTTCCTTTTTATTAAAATCTATTCTCTTTTATTCTCCTCGGAGTAACCAAACACCCACACTGGAGCAAATGAAGTGAATGGATTGTAATTTTTCCATTTTTACCATCCTGCATTTTCCTCATCATTTAATCAGACTGACCGGAGGCAGCGAGATGCCCTTTGTTTTTTGGCAGCAGAATATCTCCTTCTGAAGTTGCCTTAGTTACTACAGTAGGTATGCCTTACATGATGTCACTGACTTGACGTCACAACATGGAGAATTGGTCAAAATGGTTGAACCTGAAAACTATTTTTTTCTTACATTATTTCTTAAATGGTTGTAGACTCCTTATTACATGATGGGAATATAAATGGATACATTCAAATTGTTTGGTGAATCTGCTAAAATGGTAACTTTTCTCCACTTTTTTGGGTTTGTTTGTTTGTGGATCATTTCTTCTGTTTCTGCGAGGACGGGTGATTTTTTTTTTACAAGGTATCATTTAAGCATTGTCAAGCATTTTATGAGGCTGCATTATGTGAAGGAGTCATGAGGGGGGTGAAAAAGCTCCCCACATATAGCAGGTGTTGATTTTTTCCCATCAGTGCAACGCTCCAGTTGGTTTTATTGTCTGTTTTGTGAGATTTGGCTCAACTTTCTTTCCCCACTGCCAAGCACAAATGGGCATCTGGTTTTGTTTTGTTTTGTTTTTGTTTTATTTTGTTTTGTTTTAAAAAAGCTGAGCCTGGATGATGAGAATATTAGCTTTAAGTGTACGGGTTTCTGGGGCCACTCTCTGCATATGCTTTACACATATTTAAACTCACAAATACACACAAACTGAGAACCCAGCAAGATGTTTGACGCTAAAGCAGTTGAATACCACTTTTTGGTTAATATCTTTATCCAGAACCTGTTCTTAGCTTCTATCAGCAGCATGTCTCTTCATTAGCATTTTTTACACTTATATTAAATCATTCATTCTTCACTGTTCATCCACGAAAAAGTCTGTTCTCCATCAGCTGCATACTGTCCCAAATGGAACATTTTTCAGTCTGTTTTATAAAACTTTAAAGTCCATCAAACTGCCACACAAACCTCAAGATTCTTCAGCTGTCTAACAAAATAACACTGGAAATGTCATGTTCTGTAATCAATAAAATGACTTTTAATATAAATGTTTTTGAGTATAATATGTGCATGCAAAAAGTAATCATATACTGACATTTTTTTCCATTGGCACCAAAACAATAATATTCAAAAAAGCAGATTCAAAAACAAAAATTGAAGCACATGGTGATGTTTAAAGTACACTGCCTGACCAAAACAATGGTCCTCATGCAAAATCCGTTGGTATGAATAGATTTGTTCTTAAGTTGTGCGTACGAGTGATTTAGGAGAATTTGTGGCATTCACCAATTTTCTGGTATTCTAAGATATTTTTCAGATTCAAACAAAATTCACGCTACTGCTTTTCTTCTGAATAAATGAAAACTATGGAACACAGTTGTTTACACTTGAATTAAAAAGGACCAAAGAAAAACCAGAGCAGGACTAGAGAGAGATGGATATGATATAGATTTTTATTTCTGTGACTGTATACGACTCACATGAGACACGACATTAACAGCACATTTCATTCCTCAGCTTTAGCAGGTCTGACGCTGCTAAAAATGACTTTTTTTCTGGATCTTTGAGAGCAGGACTTCAATCTCTGAACTCGTAAAATTCTTCTTTTTTACTTTGTGATGTCATTTATGAATGGACACTTCCTGGTATGTGGAGCAGGAAACGTAGCCTTATATGGTGTTTTTGGAGTGGTAATTATGCTAATCTCCTCTCCTCGTGTACGAGCAGCTGATACACATTCATCACTTTACGCAGCTCATTTACACACTTTTCCTGAAGATAGAAGAGTTTGTTGAATCTGACGTGACATGTTTGTACGAACAAAAGTAAGAGAAAATTAGGATGAGAATATGAAAATATTCTTGCATGAGGCCCACTGTGCCCACCTGGATATAACTAAGGTCTATGATGTGGGGTTGCTGCAGTTGGTCAGGTCTAGGTTCAGCAACAGTTTGTGTTCAAAGAATGAGGTCAGCCGACCAGAATATACTGAATCACCAGGTTATTGCTAGGGCTGGGCGATATGATCAAAATTTTATATCACGGTATTTTCAACATTTTCACCGGTTTCACGGTATTTGACGGTATTTTTCTTTTCTTCACAGCTCAGCTGATAATAAAATGTACAAACACTGCTTACTGACTTTTTTCTTTCACTGTACCTCTGTCTGTGTCGCTGTTTCCCTCCTCTGTGTCTGTTCTTCTCTGACTGGTGGTTGGAGACAGTAGTCACGCATTTTGGTCCAGTTGTGAAGGAGGAGGGTTAAGAAAAGATTATGATCGGGTTTATTGTTTTATGTTATTTAATAAAGCTTATCAGCTAGGGCTGCCACAAACGATTGTTTTAATCGATTAATCACCGATTATTTGTTCGATTAGTCGACTAATCGGATCATACGTTAATTGAATATAAAACATACAGCTTATCACGTCAGAATGCAGCTGCTATTATATAACCATTGTTAGATTTTAGCTATATGCTAACTAAAAATAATTGCTGTGGAAGGTAAGTTCTGCTCTGCAGATATTGCACAGGTTTCTCTTTCATTTTCTTAAAATGATCCCACACTTTTGAGCTCTGTTGTCAGGTAGCCATGATACCAGAGCCTGTCTGTATAATGTCTTGTGACGTCCACGGCCTACCCCAGTTACCACTACTGTGCATGTGTGTCAAGGACAGAAAGGCAGATGTGGCAGTGGAAGGTGTCAAAGCAGTTTGGAGAGAAAAACAAAGTAAAGAACAACAAAAAAGGAAATGATTAATCGATTATTAAATTAGTCATCAGTTATTTTAATAATCGATTAGTCGTCGATTAATCGATTAATCGTGGCAGCCCTATTATCAGCACAACTCACCTTGCACACCAGTCAATTCCAACTCCACTACGAACTACTTCCTGCGGGCTTTTCACAATAGAACCATGTTAAGTCTCCATCAGCATAACGTCTCCATATTAACTAACCGCGTTAAATCTAACTGTGCACGTCACCTAAGAGGTGTTTACTACATTCAGCGATGGCGAAAACAGGATGTTTTTTTAAACGTCAGTCAATATAAGCAGCGGAATCGCCACCCGCTGCTGCAACTAGCTGCTCCAAACATTAGCATGCTAACACACATAGCTGTGCAGCAAGGAAAAATGTCCCCCGGGAAACAACAGTTCACTGGCGGCCGCGACGAAATGTTCCGCTATTTAAACCGGAATGTCCGGTATTCAGAAAATTCATATCATAACAAAAATAAAAACCAGTAATTGGTACAAAACGGTATACCGCCCAGCACTAGTTATTACATCAATAATTTTTTTTATTCCCTGATGTCACGGGCATATTCCAAGATGACAAAGCCAGGATTCATGGGAATGGAATTGTGAAAGAGTTCTTCAGGCATGAGACATCATTTTCACACACAGATTTGCTCCACAGAGTCCATTGAGAATCTTTGAGATGTACTGGAGAAGGTCAGACTCTACATCATCAATTCGAGATCTTAAAATTAATGCAACACTGGACGGAAATAAATCTTGTGACATTGCAGAAGCTTATCAAAGCAATGCCACAGTGAATGTGTGCCTTAATCACAGCTAAAAGTGGTCCAACATAATATTGAAGTGTGTGTCATTTTGTTTTTTTTTTCTTTTGGCAAGGCATCAGTTTTATTCCCAGTACTTTTTGCACATTTACTTATTAAAATGACAATAAAATAATATATCAGAGACAAATAACAAACGTGCAACATTTCAGGACTAGAGTGATGTGTGCTTTTGTTTGTTTGTTTGGTCTTCAACGACCAGACAAGATGTTTTCTTATCTCTTTCTTTTCACTTTGTCTGTCTGTTAAAGAAGATCTGCCTCTGATCTGTGTGGTTTATGGCTGACACTCGCCCTCCCTCTCGCCCTTCATCTCTCCTGGTTTATTATCCGCTGGCATCCACTCGCTGCTAATGAGACCGCTAAACTGTCCAGACAGGCCTCGGGCTGCTCTGTCACTGTGAGGGCATATGCATGCCTTAGTGTGTGTGTGTGTGTGTGTGTGTGTGTGTGTGTG